TCAAGTCAAGAATTGTATTTCATCGATAATAATGTACTTAGTCTTAACTTAATTCAAATTAATAATTATTTTAATTCTCTAAATAGGCTTCTGGATCTTATATTTATAAGTGACAATTTTTGTTGTGAAGTTAGTGAGTGCCTGAATCCAGTTACTTCTAAGGACAGACATCATCTACCACTTGTTGTCGAGTTTAGATTTTATTATTTTCCTCCGGTTACTACTGTGAGTAGACCAATCTTTAATTATTCTTCGTGTGACTTTGTAAGTCTTAATGATATTTTACTTGAAATAAATTGGGAGGAGCTACTTGGTGGGCTTGATACATCTGTCAGCTTTTCCGCTTTCAAGTCGATCGTATACACCCAATGTTTAGATAGGATCCCCCTGCGGGTAAAAAGAGCCTATAAATTACCTTGGTACACTAAAGAATTAAATAAACTCAAGAATCTTAAAAACAAATTCTTAAAAAAATTTCATAAGAGTAAGAATAACTTCTTCTTCAGTAAATATAAGCTATACTTAAAGGATTTTAATATTTTGAATAAAACTCTTTATTCCGAGTATATGCGCAAAATAGAGGGAAACATTAAATCGAATCCCAAAAGTTTTTGGAAATATCTTAAGGACAAAAAGTGTTCCGCTAGTGTGCCTACCGGAGTTTTCCTTGAAGATTACTCGGCGAAAACTCCGGATGAGGCAGCTAACTTATTTGCCGATTTTTTTAAATCGAATTTTTCTGTGGACGATAGTAGTCTGCCGCTTGATTTATCGAATAGTATGAACTCTGCCTTAAATTTTGGAGCTCTACATCTTTCTACTGAGGATATTATTAGAGCTGTTAACGATCTCAAATCTTCTTCTCAAACAGATTTAGACGGATTTTCCCCCATCTTATTGAAAAATTGTCCGGCCCTGGTTTTTCCTCTTCAACTTATTTTCAACAAATCACTCTCGTCTGGGATCTTTATTGACGATTGGAAGGTTACGTCTATTACGCCTGTCTTCAAAAGTGGCAACAAAAATGATGTGCGTAACTACAGGCCCATTTCCAAACTGACCACCGTCTCCAAAATTTTTGAACATGCAGTCAATGCTAAGTTGAGCTTTGCGGTTAAGTCCCTTATTTCTCCCTATCAGCATGGTTTCGTTGCGGAGAGGTCGACGATTTCTAACCTTGCTGTCTTCAGTGAGTATTGCATTGAGTCCTTTTCGGCTGGCTCGCAGGTTGATTGTATCTATACTGACTTTTCAAAAGCCTTTGATAGGGTCTCTTATCGAGTCTTAATTTATAAACTGGGATGCCTTGGTTTTCATTCTTCCTTTCTGTTATGGTTAAGTTCATATTTATCCAGCAGGCGGAGTGTTGTCACTGTGGATGGGGTGTCCTCTATTCCCTTTATTGCCTCTTCAGGGGTACCACAGGGGAGTATACTAGGTCCATTATTATTTAATCTTTTTATTAATGACATCAGTAATTGCTTTACATTTGCTAAATGTCTCCTGTACGCTGATGACCTAAAATTGTTCTCAATTATTAAGACGCCTGATGATGCAATGAAATTACAAGATGACATTTCCAAGTTACGTCTGTGGTGTCATAAGTCTCATCTGTCCTTAAATGCATCTAAATGCTTTCACGTGACCTATTCTAAGTCATCTAATATTCTTCGCTCAAAATACAGTATATCAAATTGTGAACTTCAATGTCTTAGTGAGATTAAGGACCTTGGGGTTATATTTGATAGCAAGTTTTCTTTCAACAGTCATATTAGCCACGTAACCTCTAAATCGTATTCAATGCTGGGTTTTGTTAGGCGCAATACCGCAAAATTTTGTGACCCATATACTTTTAAAGTTCTCTATACTTCTTTTGTCAGGTCTCACTTAGAATATGCTGTCTTTATTTGGCGACCTAGTACTATGACAGCTATAAATAGACTGGAGAGAGTACAAAAACGCTTTCTTAAGTATGCTCTTTGGTCGTTAAATTTTGTGGAGCCCATACCACCTTATGCTGCTCGTCTTATGCTGATAAGTCTCAAATCCTTGGAGAGTCGAAGATCTATACTCTCTTTGTCCTTTTCCTTCAAAATTATCAAGGGCCTAATTGACTGTCCATACTTATTAGAAAGGATTCGGTTTAATGTTCCTCAACGGCATCTTCGCAATGTGTGTCCGTTCTATGGGGTTAATACGAAAACTCAATACGCTTGTAAAGCTCCTGTTAATCGTGCTTTACGAGAGTTTAATTCACTAAGTGATGCTATCACCTTGGATTTTTCGATGCAAAGTGATGCTTTTTTCTCGATGCTTAATTCTGCCTTATAAGTGGTTTGATTTATGCACAAAATTAGTTTGTAATCTATAAATTAGTTAAGTACATAGTCTGTAAGGATTGTATTCCAAAGACTTATAATTAAATAAAGAAACATATATGTATGTATCTACATATACATAAATTACGTACATGCATACGTGTAGTTAAAGTATATTCCAAGCGTACACTTTTCAGTATAATGGTGTATCTGCATGTTATTTTATTATAATGATTGCGTTTATTTTTTATATCTAATAAATGGAACTTAGTGGGGATAAGATTGACTGAGAAAAGTGGGCGTCTGGTGAAGACTGAGAGTAAAGAAAAGCAGAAAAAACAATACATATAAATTTTTTATTTATTTTAAATGTTTTGATCGCCATTATAAGGATATTAATAAGAAACCAAAAATATAAACATGTAAATGGAATAAGAATATGTATGGATGTATGTATTACTAGAAGAAAACTCAATAAAACGAAGGTCTGCATTTCATATCCATGCACACATACATATGTATGTAGATATGTGTGTATCTATGTATATTAGGCTGGGTCGATTTTGTATGGGGGAAAATAAAATGCATTTGACCGTATTGTAATAGTAATATTATGATGTCTTATGTCTAAGACAATTGTTATTGGCCACGAAAGATTAATTCAAAACGTATCTTTAGCCCGCGCAATTGAATCAAAATGTATGAATTTTGAAAATGAAACTTTGGCTAGTAATATCTATGGAATGCGTCAATTGTTATAAACAGGACGATATATCAAATTAAGGGCTATTAAATTTAGTACCTCACGTTCATTTGTCATTTTTCAACAAGACTCCAAGTTTTTAAGATATTAAGATAAAACTTACAAAAACTATAATTTTCCCTTATGAATTTTCAATTCTTCATTACTTCAGCAACCAAGTGAAAAATGCAAAAAAAGTGAGACGCTATTTATTTCAAACGTTTTAATGTTTTCGGATGTTTATATGATATTAAAAGGACCATGGGCTTGGTCACGCCGATTTGGTCAGTTTTCAAGATCGTGGTGAATGAAGTCAAACATGTATTGTCAAAGTTTAGGAATCGTTTGATAAGTTAATAGTAGTTTCAAGCATATAAGTATTTACAAACATGAACATAATACAATTAGGGTGAAAAACGCCCACTTTAAGTCAATTTATGTTGGTTTGAAAATTGGTGCGGAATGGTTTCATTAGTCTCCGAAGAAGCACATTTTTCGCGGTTTCTAAATTTGCCGTTATATGAAGGTAGGGGAGGTGCAATAAGTGTTTATACAAAAATATTTTAGTTAACTCCATTATGTGAGAAAGTGACTGTAGATAAGTCCAATAGTCTTAACATATCCTGGGAAATCCTTTCCAATTGGACAATATTGCTTTGCATTCAGCTTGAACGAAAAAAGTCTCTCCCTGGCACACTTTTCTGCAATCCGGTTCTTTCATTTAAAGGTTATTTATACAATTGAAGAGACATTTTTTTAGAAAAAAACTTGAGATCCGCTTAAGTTTTTCGATATAACTTTGGTAGATGTTACTCGATCGGTACGTAATAATTACCAAATTGAAGGCGAGCCTTACTGTTACTGATTTATGATAATAATATGATGAAAATCATTCAGATTATAAACAAATTATTTTAAAATAAAAAAAATTTAAAAAAAATGTTTTGTCATTTTCCTACATTTGCAATTTTTCTATTGTAGCATATGTAAACTAATTAGTGTTTCTAGAAGTTGTGCCTGTTCAGTGTTTCCATACTCATTTGCATAAACAAAATTTTTCCACGATGATGGAAAAATAATGGCTTTTCTATTAGAGCTACCGAAATTGTTTCTAAATTTGCAAAATTTCGCAAACTACAGCTAATATTAAAAAAATGATAAGAATATTTGGAACCAGCGACCTAAATGCACGCCAGCAATATTAATGATGTTCTTTACATCGTTCGACTATAGGCCAGTGCAATTATCAAGAGAACAATTAAAATTTTATTGAAAACAGATACCTTTGAGAATAAACATAAGCTAAAGGGCTGCGAGAAATGATATTTGACTTTATCTTTTGCCGTTTGCCGAACCCAGAATTTTTAACAAAAATTGGTTTTATTCGACTAGTGTGCTGTGCGTCACTTGGCGGTCGATGCACGGGCTCTTACAATTAAAATAAAATACTAATATTTTGCAGGCTTCTTGTTCACTTCATGATACAATATATTTTCACTATTACCAAGGGATTTGAGAAAAAGTAGATTTTCGACCCGCCCTAATGTATATGCATGTACTTATACCGGTAAGAGCATAGTTATTTACTGAACAGTAGCGCAGAATGAGCAAAAATTTTGCAGCAATAATCAAATAATAGCTAAGCGTTGGTTTTACTACGACCTTGCAAAGACGAAAAAAATTTACTTGTGAGCCTTTTAGCCTGAAGTATGTATGTAGATACAATATTGCAGCAGCTTTCTACCTACCTTTTGTTTATTTTCCACTAATAATTAGTATGCTTTAGAAATTTTTACGGAAATAGAGCACATGATTTCGTTCATTTTAGAGTTGTAGCAGGTAGTGAATTTTTCTTCAAACTACATTTCGCTAAGTGTAGAGTTGTGTGGTTTAGTTGGGATTTCCCTGAATACAAGATATTTCGTAAATACGTACGTTCTTCATAAAATTTTATTTTGTAAGTTTTGGGGGTGCACCTACATAAATGAGGTAAACGATGCGGGTGCTCCATTCGTGATCACTCACAACAGCTTATCCTGAAAACTTTTTAGGGCGTTGTATGGAAGATATTTTTTCGCTTTTCTAAGGAATTACGCTATAATTGCACGTATACATATACATATGCATTGTCGTCAGAGGTAGAAGTAATGGAAAATCGTTTCCAGTAAATTATGGAATGTGCTTGTCGGATATATATAAGAGGGCGAACGAATTTCTTTATCCAAACATCGGTAGAGAGGTGTGTTATACAGTGCTTAGTAGCGACTATTTACATAAATAAACGATATAACAATATTGAGAAAAGACAATGGGAAGGAAAAAAACTGATTTGCAAAATTACGTTAAGTACGATGAAACTACCAAGAAAAGTACCTGCATTGTAGAGTCGTGTAAAAGAGAGCTTACTGGATTATTGCGAGGAAATATTAAAAGACATTATAAACTTATACACAAAATAGATATAGAAAATAGTGATGACAGTGATGATGATAATACTTCTACCACAAAAAAACGAAAAACCGTGTCAAAGTTAAGTACTAGTTTAGACAGAGACAGTTTTTTGAGATGCTGCGTGGGACTGGTCACCAAAAAAAATATTCCCTTTCGAATATTTGATGAGGAATATTTTAAACAACTTATATCACCATACGAGCAGAAGTTTGGTATACATTTAAACTCAAAGAACATAGCCTTCTTGACAAAGCAAGTCAACAAATTAAGCAAAAAATAGGTCATTCGGTAAAAAATAAAATAATATCTATAAAAATTGACATCGCAACTCGCATGGAAAGAAGCGTGCTGGGGATCAACATCCAATACATTAAAGATTACAAAGTCATTGTTCATACAATTGGTAAGTAATTTCGTTTTATATAAATAAACACACATACATACGTATGCATATTCATTTAAATGAATAAGTATTCGACAATCATACTTCTTTACTTTTTTTCAGGAATGATTGAAACAACTAAACGACATACAGCTGCAAGTTTAAAGGAAGAAATTATGAAATGTCTCAACGAGTATGGCATTGGGATACACCAAATTTATTCCAATACCACTGACAACGGCGCAAATGTAGTTAAAGCGTCCAAATTGCTACACGATATGCAGCAAGAAAGTTTAGCAAACAAAGATGCTATAAATGATGTTGAGGCAGATCATATTGAGTCTCAAATCGCTTCTGTGTTTTCTGTTGTTCGTTGTGCTGCTCATACTATTCAGCTAGCAGCATATGATGTCATAAAAACAATTGAAAAGGACTTGGAAGAGTGCAGGACGATTGTAAAAAAATTGAGAACCTTAGTGAGAGCAGGAAATACCGACATCAGTTTGCCATTCATCGACAACAGAACTAGGTATGCTATGATGGAATCACTTTACCGAATCAAAGAATACATTGAAAATTTGGATAAAAACATGTACATAAATTGGTCATTCGTTAAGGATTTTTTCACCGCTTTTCAACCAATCCTAAGTGCACCCTAAAACTTCAAAATGAGCAGTATATTATAGGAGACTTCTTCAGGGATTGGCTTACTTGCGAACTAGAGCTTGTAGACTTGGTACCAGACAATATTTATGCAGATTCCTTCCTAAATGCGATGGAAATAAGAAAAAAATTTCCTTTTAGAATATAAGGCTTTCGTCGCTGCTCTATATCTAGATCCAAGATTTAATTTTGAAGAAACACCTCTCCTCAGCTCTGAGCAAAAGGATGTTGCAATGGTAAGCCAACTGAAATTTATTTCAAAATTCATTATCTTGATATTATATTTCGTTCAATTAATTTATTGTTTACTTTGAATTTTTTATATCTTTATAATTGTGAGATACTAATCCAGCTATTTTAATTTTCCCTACTCTTACAGGATCACTTAATAAGGACTTACGAAATGATCCAGAAAAATCCATCAGAATATGAGAATGATTGCACTTCTGGAGTTGTACCACATACAACACAGGACAATGAACTTCCAAGCACATCGAAAGGGGCGTACCATAAGTTAACGCTTCACGTAAGGTCATTGGCAAAATCGCAAAGTGCAACGACACCAATCGTAAAACCTGACATCAAACAAAAGCTGGTTAATCTCTGTGTAAAAGGAATGGAACCGTTCGACACAAATGTCCTGGAATACTGGAGAAAATTTTATCGGAATTAGTGTGAGATGTTGAAGTTAGCGGAGTTTCTGTTGAGCGGGCTTTCAGCGCACTTACTACAATACTCACTAAGTTACGTACAAAATTGTCAAAAAAATTAAATTTTGATATTCTCCACTTCTCAAAATTAGAAATTGAAGAAAATAAATAGATAAAATAATGTGATGTAATAATTTGCTTGGCAAAGTATTAGATCTTGTTTATGTTGATGATGCATCTAAGTCAGCTGTAAATAAATGTGACCCACTAGTTTTGCCCGAAGATGTCTACCACCCTGCTATTGAGATATCTTACGAAATTATAAACGATGGTCAAAATTGCGATGTCCAAACATACGAACCAAATATTCGCTTTGATTTTTCGAAAGCCAACTTTAAAAAACTGAATAAAGAATTGTCTAAATTGTCGTGGCCTATATACAAAGAAAAAGTTGAGCAAAGCGTTGCACATTTTAATTTTACTGTACATAGATTATTTGAAAAGTATGTGCCTAAACGCATGTGTGTTCCTGAAGAACAAACACAGTTATGGTTCACTAAAGAACTGAGAAACTTGAAAAACAGAAAGTCACGTTATTTTAGATTACACAAAAAAAAACCGGCTTACACTCATACTATGTAAAATACTCACTTTTGCGTCACAAGTTCTTTGAATTAAACAAAAAGTGTTATAAAGATTACTTGTGTAAAATCAAACGACGTATAATATATAACCCCAAATCATTTTATGATTTCGTAAACTCCAAGCGAAATGTACGTGGGTTTCCTTCCGCCATGAAGTATCAAAATACCGTCTCTGGTGATAAACAAATTCTAACATGTTCGCTCAGTTTTTTAAATCCAATTATTCCACTAACTCCCAAGCATACTTTGACTATCCTTTTAAACTAAGCCCAATTAACTCAATACATAACCCTATAATATCTCCCGATGATGTTTTAGTTTACCTGAAGTCCTTAAAGCAGTCTTTTAGTTATGGTCCTGACCAGATCCCCACTTGTTTTCTTAGAAATTGTGCTGATTATCTCTATGAGCCGTTAACAGCCTTATTTAATTTGTCTCTTAAAGAAGGCGTTTTTCCAACTGTATGGAAGGAATCGTTCATAACCCCCTTACATAAAAGCGGTAGCAGGTCTTCAGTGGAGAACTACCGGGGCATAGCTAAGCTTTCTGCAATTCCTAAATTATTTGAAGCAATTATAACAAATCGGTTGACGCATTCTATCACTTCAAGCATTTCATACAGTCAACATGGATTTTGCAAGGGCAAATCAACTTCTACAAATTTACTTGAATTAACATCCTATATCTCAAAAGCATTTAGTGAGAGCAAAACTGTTGATGTTATATATACTGATTTCAGTAAAGCATTTGACAAAGTGTGTCACTCGTTGCTCATCTATAAACTTGATCTTCTTGGTCTTCCACCTAATTTTCTACGTTGGATCTCTTCATACCTCTATGATAGATCACAAAGGGTATTGTTTAAAAATACTATCTCTGACGTCATTGATGTTAGTTCAGGAGTCCCTCAGGGTAGCCACCTAGGCCCGATTCTGTTCTTGCTTTTTATAAACGATATTTCTACAGATATAAAATTCTCCAAAATTTTAATGTATGCAGATGATGTAAAACTTTATAAATCGTACGTTTCAATTAAAGAAAGGTCTGCTACAATCAGACTTAAACAGCATGGCTTACTGGTGTAAAGTAAGGCCCTTATTATGAGCTGCATTCGATTTTCGATCTTCGCTGGCTATCGAAGACCGAAGATCGAAAGTGAAATTCGTGAGCTATGCAAGCGTGTCGAAATTTTCGTTGAGTATCGAATTTTCTGTCGAACAGAATTTTGCTTTCGATGGTGTAGCGAAGTGTTAGAAAATTGTGAAAAATTTATGATTTTGTGTATGTTTTCTTACATTTTGGCGGCTAGACACTAATTTTAAACAATTTTTATTAATTTCATGCAGTTCTAACATCGTGAATACTAAACACAAGCTCAAAAGGCTGGTTTTACTTGTGAAAGAAAATCCCAATACTCTGTTGGCACGATCTCTGAGAACAAAATCGTAGCGCTGTTGATAGTTCTAAAATATTTTAAATAGATTTGGCTCACAAACGCCTCTTTAGATGGTCGGAACTTCTTAATGAATCTGTAGACAAATTTCTTAAATATATTTTATATCAAAATATATTCGAAAGACTAATAAACTTAAACTCTCTTAAACATTTGCTACTCCTGGCCAGTTTACTACGCTCTCATCCTCTGACGAATCGTTGAACCAGAACTCGGTGTACTCATTTTACCACGTTTTTATAAACTTGCTTTCTGTTTTACTTCATTTTAATTAGAACAAATTTACATAAATATGTATAAGCACACTATTTAGTTTGCTCGATTTGTAAACAAAGCTTCTCAGCGGTGAAAAATATACTATTGTGAACAACCTAAATGAGGGAAACTCACAATAGCGCTATTCTTCATCGAATGAGCGCCATAATACCAAATGAAAATTCGTTCGCTCAGCACTTTCGACCACAGTCGAAAATCGAATGCAACTCATAATAGGGGCCTAAATCTTATGCCTCTAAATCTTAAGAAATGTAAAGTAATGTGCTTCTCGCGAAGAGCTGTTCTGCCAGTTTCTTATATAATAGGTAACCATAACCTGGAACAGGTATACAATTTTGTGGACCTTGGTATCACAATGGATCCTAAGCATAATTTTAATCTTCACATTAATGTGACAGTCAACAAGGCTAAAGGTGTACTTGCATTTGTGAAACGATGGTCAAAAGAATTTAGTGACCCTTATATCACTAAAACCCTGTTTACAACATTAGTTAGGCCGATTATGGAATACGGCTCGGTGGTTTGGAATCCAAAGTATCAAATTTACTCAGACAAGATAGAATCAATTCAAAAACAATTCCTACTTTTTGCTTTAAGAAATTTCCGATGGGATTCTCAATATAGTCTTCCACCTTATACGAGTCGCTTAAAACTTATTAACCTTCCTACACTTGCCAGTCGCAGGGAAATGCTTGGTCTAATTTTTATGGTTAAATTACTGACAGGCTCAATTTCAAGTCCGTCTCTTCTGGCTGATGTTAGCTTTAATGTTCCCTTACGCGTATCAAGACACTTTTGCCCCATATTTCTGAAAGCTTGTAAAACCAATTTTGAATTGCACGACCCACTCCGTTGCTTATGCCAGGATTTTAACTCACTCCAGCACGTTTGTTATATCAGATCCGCTTTTCAGCATTAAGAAAGCGATACTCTCCTCTCTCAATAAGTGAATTATGGACATAAATACATAAAATCAGCTGATGAATTTAGTTCTATAGCTGAACAGTTTTAGATCTCGACACTTAACAAACTCCTGCCTATCGTGACTCGGCACAAAAATTTAAAATATTGGTTCCGTACGTCATGCGGACTGCGCCCCTCGTGCGGATGGGCGGGAATGGAGGGTAAAAACCGTTGGGATTATTATTATATATCTGTGTTCATATGGAATAGTAGCTTATGTCGAAAGGTTGGCCTTAGTATAATGCGGCATTCGCAGCATACGATTTATATTTTCCAAAAAAAATCTAAGAGGCTGCTCTGTAATACGATTCGAAAAAGAAATGCGATGCAATAGGCAATTACCACTGTGGGAAGACTCTTATATTACTTCTATCACTGACGGCAATGAATATGTATATGTATACGTGCAATTATAGCGTAATTCCTTAGAAAAGTGAAAAAACATCTTCCATATTACTTATATTACTTCTACCACTGACGGCAATGAATATGTATATGTATACGTGCAATTATAGCGTAATTCCTTAGAAAAGTGAAAAAACATCTTCCATACATCGCCCTAAAAAGTTTTCAGGATAAGCTGTTGTGAGTGATCACGAAAGGAGCACCCGCACCGTTTAAATCATTTATGTAGGTGCACACCCAAAACTCTTACAAAATAAAATTTTATGAAGAACGTACGTATTTAAGAAATATCTTGTATTCAGGGAAATCCCAACGAAACCACACAACTCCACACTTAGCGAAATGCAGTTTGAAGAAAAATTCACTACCCGCTACAACTCTAAAATGAACGAAATCATGTGCTCTATTTCCGTAAATATTTCTAAAGCATACTAATTATTAGTGGAAAATAAACAAAAGGTAGGTAGAAAGCTGCTGCCATATTGTATCTACATACATACTTCAGGCTAAAAGACTCACAAGTAAATTTTTTTCGCCTTTGCAAAGTCGTAGTAAAACCAACGCTCTAACGAACGCGGTTTATCCGGTCTATGGCTGGGCTGTGGCTCGGTCGGATGTTGGGTTCCCTTATCCAAACGTTAAAATAAATACGCCAATGATTCTTATAGTGACGCTTCTTTATTTCGCTATTTAGTTGGCAGCGTTTGCACGTCACACCAATATAACGTATTTCCTTGGCGGCGTTTCCACGTCACACCATATAAGTACTACTTGGCAGCGTTTTCACGTCACACTAATATAACGTATTGCTTTGGCAGCGTTTTAACGTCACACCATATACCTTAACTACCTACTAAGCAACTTAGTCTTCACAATCGTGGCTTAGCCATTCCAATCTGCGTTTTCACGATCGACTGGAGTATACGACTACTCTACCAGAAGTGATTTCAAATTACATTTGCTGCTCTATTTATACTGTCCTGCACGCAGGCAGACAGTTATCCTAACAACATTGTTGCTAATATTTTCTTTACTTCCTTTTACTTGTTCATACCTAAGTACGTATGTATGTACTTCAGATTTCAATATAGATATGTACATATGTATTTCGATTTCACGTATATATGTATATAATTAGCAATCCGTTTAATATGTATAAATAAATTCAACAGTTCTCCATTTATATCTATATATAAATATATATATGTATTTAACAATTCAAAATATAATTTAGTTCAATAACATATGACAGCCAATTGTGAAGTCCCTGAGTGTAGGGACTTGGGGGTCCTCCAACAACTGCTCCAACCCGCGGTCTTCCTCCACCAACAGGGTGAGCGCATTCTCCTCTTCGCTTCCTTCATCGCCTCTATTACTTGATATTGTCGCCGCAGCTACGTCGCACAACGACTGCGCAGGTGGTTGTCGCCACGATTCGGTGCTGTGTGACGCGTCGTTAAAAATTCGCATCGTCATA